CGATGATTGAAGCCGAAAAAGGAATTATTGAGGTCATGGATTCTAATTACATTTCGGTTGGTATAAAAATACTCTAAAGCCAGAATTTCGCCACTCATCTTGCGCCTTCAGAGCACATTTTTAGGATAAATTGATGGAGATACCATTGAGATGAAGGTTTTCGACGATTGAAGAAGTATTGAATGCTGTGAGAATGATTATTTTAAAGGTCGGTATTATCAAATGATAAGAGAGCTTGTTACAGGTGCGAGCAATGCTAGAGTATATGTACTGCGGATCAACAGTGAACATCGAGAACATTGTCGAGAGTGTTTTGGCACTCTCTGAGAAATACGCTATAAAACCGTTGAAGGAATTCTGCAGTAACTGTTTGGCATCCAAGATAAACACAAATAACCTCGGTAAAACTGCAGTAATTGCAGAATTCTACTCGCTCACTCCTCTCATCGAGGTGATCTAATAATTTTTGATCATGAGATCATAATATTGTCACATGATCATTTCAGTCATTTCATGAAATCGATTCATAAATCAATGCCTTGATGAATTTCTTTGAATGTTTTTTCTAATATCCTCGCCATTAATCAGTTCTATCTCTGAGTCTGTCGAATAACCCAAACGAAATATGAAGAAAACAATTTTTTGAGAAGAAAGAACTTTCAATATAATTTTTGTCCTGTCGCGTCATCGAAACAATTACATGGAGTTACTCAAAACATTTAGTCAACTGATTACGTGTTATCGTGTAGATATAACAATTACAATTTTCCAACTTATCAAATCCTCTTGTACTTTTGCATGATAAGTTTCAATGTTCGTTTAGAGATGTGCCCGTTATTTGAGCGATAATCACTCATCGGTAGTGGGCTCGAAAGGTTGGCAAGAGCTGAAGAAGCACAATCCTGGACTAGTGATCCGCCTCTTGGAACTTTCTAAGTAGTTAATAATCAACACAACAACGAATTACTCTCATTAACGGATTTATCACGATGTATCACTCCGAATCTATTGTATACATCGCATTTTCTGTTTGACTGTTATTATCACCATAATCTGTTTATACTACTATTGGTATTGATATGGATTTCGTTGTTTTAATGTATTCATTCTGCTCACATGTTTCACAGCTCACCATTTCTATAAACA